GCGGGGGGGGGGGGTGGTTATGCCAAGGGGTTGCCAAAGTCGGTGCTGCTACACCGAGGGTGGCCAATAATAAATTGGAGAAGATCCTGACGGAGTTCAGAGTGGGTAGAAGGGAAGAGGGATGATTTCTCATAGGACGAGAGTGAAACCGGAAGGAGCCCTCGGGGCGGGGAAACGTCTTTACGGGCTGAACGGAAGTTACGTAGAAACGTAGGGGGTGGGCGTGGGTAGCGGAGGTGTCCTTCTCTCAAGGAGAGAAATGAAGATAAAACAAAGTTGGAAGCTGGCACGTGGTAATGTAATGCGGACTCCATCCAAAGTCCGTCAGGGATTTATAGAGATTGATGCCTGATTACGGGTTAAGTCGAGCCTATCCTAACAAACGTCGATCAAATCCTGGATCTCTCTTTTTTTTTTACGAGCCATCTCACTCTCCTCTTCCCCACTCCTCCACCCAGCCCTTCGTCCTCCTTAGATCTCAGTGCGACGCCAGACGTCTCTTTCGACGCTTTCTTGGGGATGAGCGAGCGGGGGTCCAGGAGCCCCCCCCCCACCCCCTCTTCTCCATGATGGACCCTGCCTCCTGTACACCGTCGACCTGGTACACGTCGTTCGGGCTCGATCGCTACAAATGACCGGAGTTCAGGGTCAGCCTGAGACAAAAGCATTCCGGTTGGACGAACCCTGGGAAATCTTGGCGAACTAGCAGACGCGTCACTGTTTTGGGTACTGCGGAATATAGGGTCTGGCGATTGACCTGGATAGAGATTAAAATTTATTCGGGCGTAGCTTTGCGATATGACAATTTTGGGCGAATGGATTTTGGCTGCTTAATCTGGTTTTTTTTTTTTCTTACGTCTTTCAGCTTTACGACTCTTTTGGGTTTGCCCTACTGTCAGGCGGTAGTCGAGCTCATAAAAGATTTTGAAGTAATTTTTGGAGAATTTTATTTTTATACTTTTTTTTTGATTCTCGTTATCACTCGCGCTACTGTGTTCTTTGTTGCTGATAAAATTTTTCACTCGGGTTTTGCTCGTTATCGGCGACTTTGCTGGAACTCGTTCGATTTCCACGCTTTATTTCAACGCTGAAGCGCGCCAGATGGTCGGAAGGGTTTCGCGAGTTTGTTCGTTGAATTTTGACGCTTTTACATTTTCTCACGTTTCGCCCCTTAAACGATAAATCTTTGCTCTGTTGTTTTCTTTTCAATGCGAACTCTAAAGCTTTGCGTTGTCTCAGATATCATTGCTCTCGTTACGCTCGGGATTTTTACAAAGGACAAGCCGAAGTGGGACGACGAGTGAGGGGTGTCATTTCGTTAAATGACTGTTTCAAAGGAATCCACCCGAGATACAAGAGAAGATGAAAAATTTATTTTCACCCACCCCAACGCATCCCATAGGCGCAGCCACCTAACAGTATTTCATGAGGTCATCGCTAAATAATATACATACATCATCCTCTCCCCTCGCGTCGTCGCACGGATATTTTTAAAGCACTCGCTTCGATGCTTATCTCGACGACGAAAAGAAATTCCTCCCTTTCGCCATCCTTTTTCTTTTTTCTTTTTTTTTTTTTTTTTTATCAATTTATCATCGCCCTAGGACCCTAGACAAATTTACGGTCTATGCCTCGGGTCTTGTAGACATAATATAATGCCCATAACTTAGCAATGTGTATCCGTATAAAAATTTTCACAATACGTGTCGGTTTGGTCGCGTAATGAAACGTCAAGGAGAATTCAAAAAGAATGTAATTGTCAAAAAAAAAAAAAGAATTCAACACAAACGATATTCGTCAGACCCAAAATCTCACGGACCGTATGACGTCATATGCCAGTCTCCATGTCGCGTGCCTAAAAAAAAATTGCTGGAGCCATAGGCTGATGACGTCATTCAAGATGGCCGATCCTCGAATATGGGGGATCAGCTTGACCATGTATGTCGCTTTTAATCCGGGCCCACGTGTTAGGTTGATCCGATCGCCAAGATAATAGGATAATATCGACTTATGGGACACACCCGTTTTTGCAGCTTTATCGCGTTAACGGTCCAAATCGCTGAACGTGATTTTACAAAACGCTCCCTCCCCTCTTCTTCACCCCTCACTTTTTCCTCACCATAGTCCTTTTTCTTTGTGCCACGAAAATCATAGAGTGACTATGTGGGATCGCGCGAAGTCCTTCGCGTGGGAGCAAAGACCCGGAAGGAGACTTTAACGGGGATGGCGAATCAGAATAAGAGGTTTCTGCGGTGGGGGAAGGGGTG